CTGCGCCCGCGAGCCCACCTGCGCGCCTGTCTCCCCGACACCGCGCCAGCCTGCGAGGAAGACGGCGGAGCTCGCTGGTCTCGCAGCCTCACCTCCCCGACTCCCAGCCTTTCCTGGGGGACTTCTTTCTCCTCCGTGGACAGACGGGCTGGGGCTTTCCTCTCACCCTGCAGAACTTAGCTTCCTGCGCGCTGGGAACCGCACGCTTTGGGCAGTCTCTCTCTCTCTCTCTCCCTCTCTCCCTCTCTCCCTCTCCCCCCCCCACCCCCATGTGGAGATACGTGGTCCACTGCCCAGTGTGACTTCCACGTGTCTCTTTGTTAAAGGAAAAAAGATAAGTGAGGAACTAACACTTTCATCGGGCTTTTCTCTTAGTGGCTGCAAATTGTTTAATTATTATTTAAATTAATTATTATTGACGTTTGTGGGTGACCGGCCAGACCTGTGATTCTGTACTTGGAAGTCAGGATTTTAGCTGCTGGTTTGGTGTCTCTCTAATTTGTTAGAGAATTTGTCCTAATTTATAATTTTTCCTCAACTTATGAAGAAGAGTAATGTTTATAAACGCTTTTAGAAGTGTAAATATTGTTTAAAAATGCAGGAGATCTTAAGGTAGGAAAGATACTAGTAGGTAATTTAGTAACGATTGAGGAAGGGTTCAGTGCCTATCTGAGGGCAAAATTCACTGTTTAGATAAAACACAAAGTTGGGCTATCATCAGTATGGTTTATGTAAAGATATAAATATTGTGCAGTATTGGGGCTGTTTGCTTATAGCCAGAAATGAACCTTCAATTAAATATTTAAATTGAGCCAAGGCTAACATTTTTATGCAGGTTAGTCCCAGATAGAAATCATTCCTGCCATTAGAAATTAAATGTGAAAATGTCACTTTGCCTAAAATGATAATGCAGTCTGTGGAGGTGTTAGTTGACGTGAGAAATCTTGAGCTTATTCCCCATTTCCTTAAGTAGTTTTGCTGTTGCTAGCGATAAAGAATGTTTTCTACTACTGTGTGGCTTGTGTATAATGCTACTTAAATGCTAATGCTTTAAGAATTCTACATCATTCCTTAATCCAGGATAAAATTCTAGTTGATCCTTCTGGGTTTAAAAAACATGCCGTTAACTTTACAGTGTTACCCATTTGCCTAAAATATAGTACTAGTCTTTATTGAAGGAACTGTCTCTTAACCGTTTTGCTTGTGCCATTCATTCGCAGTATAAAAAAAGTATGTTCCAGCGATGAAAGAGAATTCAAACATTTGTTTTTCCATGTCTACACTTAGTAATTAAGCAATATTAAAAGTAGGTTTTTTGCCTAATCCATTATATCAGTGTAACCGTTCTTGCAGTTTATAATTTAACCATCTACAGAAAAATGAATTTCATCTGGAAATGCAGGAATACATCTTTCTCTTGTCTAGCAATGGGAATAGAATATGTTTTACCTTTAACCCAGGAGGTCGCAGTGAAGGTTAATGTGGGAAGAGGAGGTTCTGGCAGCAGTGGCAGCTCTGGTGTCATTTAGCCATTGGGTAAATGACAGTGTTCTTGGGGTCAGGGGGCCGAGAGGTGTATAAAGAAAGATCTAGTGGTCACTGGCCATGTAGAAGTAGGGATGCCAGAGCTGTTTTTGTGTATGTCTTTTATAAATTGAGTTTTGCCAACTGTATTTTTGTCATTCAGAGAATAATGGAAGGTTATTTATTTGTTTATATATTTGCTTTTTTCACTAGACCATAACCTATTTGAGGGCAGAAATCTTTTTCACCCATTTATTTCAGTCAGTTTGTCAACAAATTTTTATTTTGTGCCTACCAAGTGCAGGCATTGTTTTAAAATCTGAAGATGAACAAACATAACTTCTATTCTTTCTGGGGTTGGGGATACACAAAACTAATAAGTAGTTATAAGTGATGTGGAAAAAATAAAGCAGGGCAGGGTGACAGGGAGTGCAAAGATGATAATTTAAAATAGGATAGGCAGGCCCTGGCCTGTGTAGCTCAGTTGGTTGGGCAGTATTCCCGTGCACCTACAGGTTGCTGGTTCAATTCCTGGGCAGGGCACAAACCCAGGTTTCAGGCTCAATTCCCAGGAGATGGAGTGAGGAGGCAGTCGATCGATGTTATACACTCACATCGATGTTTTTCTCTTCTTCCTTCCTCCCGCTCTAAAAATCAATAAACTATTTAAAAAGAAAAAAAATAGGGTAGGCAGGTAAGTTCTCACTGAGAAGGAGACATTGGGCAAAGACTTGAAGGACGTAATAAAGCCCGCTTGCAGATATCTGGGAAAAGATCATTCCAAGCCGAGGAAGCAGGAGATGCAATGGCCCTGAAAAGGCAGTGCCTATTTGAAGCACCTGCCTAAATGTTAAAGAACACCAGGAAACCTAGCATGGCAAAAGCAGAATATGTACCAATAAGGGAGGAGTAGTTGGAAATGGGTGTATTTGTATAGGGAGTCAGAGTTTATTCTATCCTCACTGCTTGAAATATTCTTTTCTTCCATTGCCAATTGTCTAGATTCAACCATTTGTTCCAGGCCTAACTCAGATATCACTTAACCGTTCCCTGAAGGCTCTTTGTTCTTAGGATTTTACATTATATTTATTACAGTCTAATATTCTGTTTCTCAGCCTAGAATTCCTTTGGGGCATTCTATAGATTCCCTGAGGCAGGTTTTAGATTTATTTGTGTCACCCTCAGCAATCAATAATGAGTCTTGAATATTCTAGTAGAGACCTCTCAATAAATCTTTGCTAATGTTTCCTAGTTTGGGATAGAGTTTGGGTTAAAAGTGACCTCCTAAATTTCCTTCCAGTTCTTAAAATTTAGTCCTTCATTGATGAGAGGCTCTCAAAATCCATGCCTTTACAACAAAAGTAGTGATGGAATAGCTGTTACATCAACTTTTTCTGTTTTAAGTTGAAAGAAATTTCTAAGAAGTGCACATCCAATAAGATTGACAGTTTGTGTTTAATTTATTAAGCAATATTTAGGGGTGTGGTGGGTTAACAGTTTCATATCCTGATAGAGTACTGAGATTTGAATTCAGAAATAATGGTTTAACACTGAGCAGTGTGAAAAGTGCTTAACAACCCACTTCCCCTACTGCATTGGATTTTCATTCCTCACTTTTCCTCTCATATAACAATTTATATGTTCATCTTTACCCTTTAATAGTGCAGATTTCCATTTCCTGCTGTAATAAATTTTTAGATTTGATTATGCCTCCAAGCTGCTATTATGTGTGAGACACATGGAGTCACATGCATATTTGGCTAAACTTAAGTTTTTGGTTCATTCTGCAAGAGTCAGACATTAAGAAGTCAAGGGTAGACTCAGAATAAATTCTCTTTTGTTTTTGCCTTCTATATCCTTAAGCTATGACTGTACAAGTTCAAATGTTTTTAGTCTTTTAATATTTGCCTGGCAATAGTTGTGTGTTACTATAAATGACTAATGAGACTAATATTTCTTAAAGCAGGTATATTTTTACATAGCTATCAATCAAGAAAAAAAACACACCTGTTTATGATTCCTGTGTTTTTAATGAACCATGGTATATCCTTTGGTGAATCACTTTAATAAAGTAAAAAATGTTTTCCTTTTATATGAATTATCTTAGTTGTTTCCACAGATTTAAAAGATTTTATATGTAGCCCTGGCTGGGTGGCTCAGTTGGTTGGAGAGTCATCCAGTACACCAAAAGGTTCTTGGTTCAGTTTCCTGTCAGGGCACATACCTAGGTTTCTGCTCTCTCTCTCTCTCTCTCTCTCTCGCTCTCGCTCTCTCTCTCTCTCTCTTCCTCTCTTCTACCCTCCATGCCTCCTTTTTTGTCTCAAATTAATAAAAACATATCCTTGGGTAAGGATTAAAAAAAAGATTGTGTATGTTTGCATATGTGTACTCATGATAAGCTTATATACACATACACAAGTACAAACAGGAAAGTTTTCAAATGGTTACATATACAAGTTGCCTCAATTTTCATATAAACTGCATCTGATTATTCAGTTGTTTGGCAACCACATGCAGATCCTAGAAGGAACTCTAAGATTGTTCTTTTCATTTTTGAATTTGTTTACATAACAGATATATAAAGTATTGAAAGTATGTATAACTTTTTCTTTTAAAAAATCTTTAAGAAAGATGCATCCATTTAGTGGCTGTTAAGACAGTGTTTCAGATGGGATGGTTAAAATTATTTTTATGATCAAGATAGAATTGTCAGCAATTCAAAGTATTAATTAAGGTGTTAACACATATTATATATCTTTATTTTAATTTTTTTAGTAGAAACAGACTTACAGATACAGAGGGGAAGGGATCAAGCCCGAAACCTGAGCAGGTGCCCTGACCTGGAAACAAACCAGCAACCTTTGTATGACCCAACCAGCTGAGTCACACTGGCCAAGGCAACACATATTATATAAACACATAGTATTTGAGCTGCTTTATTAAGAAGATAATCGCAAGTGATTTGGTTTCTTTTCACATTAGTTAGGATGCTTTTGGATACATAAATTGAGTTTTATGTAGTCGGACTCAAATTTTGCTTTAAAAGAACTGTTAGTATACATAATAGGAAGTGCAGAGTAGTAGACAGATTCCACAATTACTTGATTTAGCA